GGGCCTCGCCTCCGTGCTGCCGTGCCCGACTGTTTCTGTTTCTTTCTTTCTTTCTTCCCTTTTTATTTTTCTTCCTAAAAGAGCTAAAGCCAGAGGAACTGTGTTAATCTGGGCTTTTTCTTTCGAGTGATGATGCTTCGCACACAGTAGATTGGGGATCACTTTCTATCCTGCCTGGAGGCTGTTCTGGTTCCTGCAAATCCCCATTCCCATACGTTGTCTTCGCAGTGTCTTTCTCTGCTGCGGAGATCTCTGCAAGTGGCTGGCTAAGTCTGGCTTCCCCTGTGCGTAATCCGTGACATGCAGACCATGGCCTCTCGGTACTGCTGAAGAAACCCACAGGACTGCCGAGCACATACCCTGAGAGATTTCAAGCACGAAGCACAGAAAGACCGACATCTCCGCCTCGGGCAGTCGCTGCCCAGAGGAGCAGCTGGTGCTGCCAGACGCCTGTGTACCAGGGCACCTGGGGACTCTGGTCCCACACTGCTTGTCAGAACTTCATTTGTGGTGAAACTGAGGTCTCTCCCACCCATGTGTGCAAGATGCTGGTCTCTGGTGAATTGTATCACCAGCAATAGGCTGTGTTCCCCCACCAGTGTGACAGCCCCGAGAGCTCACTGGCAGGACATGCAGTACCGATCCTTTGCCTCAGCAGTTTCTCAGCACGGGAAGCACAGCCCAGGGCCTCCAGTGTTAGCTGGACCATCTCCCCTCATCCACCTGTCCATCAGTGGTGACCCCACATCTTTGATGCCGGATAGGAGGAGATGTGGTCCATCTACCTATTTAACTCTTCTTTGTAGGCTCCCCTCTGTTCTTTGGGGAGTAGCTAGCCTGCTTTTCTCCACCGTGAGCCCTGCTGGGAACTGTGGTGTCTAGGAACTGCTCGGCACTGTGTTGCTTCCCATATCCTTAACTTCATCCCTTTTCCAGGACACCTCTTGGCAGTGCCTGCTCTAAAAGCAATATCAGAAGAAATGGTCTAGCGAAGACCCAAGTCTTGGTGGCTTGATCGTTCTGAACACCTGCTGGTCTGTATTCATCTCACAGGGAATAACCGTATCTCATTTACCCTTAGACCCCAACCCATTCAAAAATCTTTGTTTGGCCTAAACTTTCTGAAAGACGTGGTTGCAGGGGCAGCTTGGCCATGGGTGGAGCGGGCCTTTTCCTATTCTTGACCAAGATGATGAAATGATGAAACAAACTTTAGAGAAGCAGGTAAGTTACTCTTTCCAGCTGACCGTGCTCACCCAGGAGCATGTTGCAGCTGAGTCTAGTATGGTCCTTAGTGCACCGGAGCAGAACTTGGCATGGAGGGGACAAAGTCCTGTCTCAGTCTCCATGCATTAATGTGACTCTTTATTGCCAGGCATGGATGTGTCTTACTGAATGGTGTTCCATGGCAGGATGCATCCGGGCAGTCCTTCTGTTAGCATCGATCTCAGGACTGTGGCTGCTGTCTGGTGACCTCCAGGAACATTTGTCCAAGACCATCCTTTTAGGATCATGTCTCTCTGGATTGGCAGTGAGGTCCTCCCGTGGAATATTTAGACAGGCTTGTTCAGCTTCCGCACCCTACAGAGGTCCGTGTTGGTGGAGACTTACTCGGGCAGTCTGGAAACATGCTAGCGATTGCTCTGGCTTCTCCCTCTGGAGCATTTGGGCTGTTGTGTGTAGGAGAGGACAGGCACAACTTTTATATCAGCAGCGGGACAGTGCAGAAGTGAGCCCTGGCTCCCTGCTGAATGCGTTTCTGATCCTGTGGCATGCAGAGTGGTCTCCCCTGCCCCTTTCCTACTGAAGTTCACTGGGACTCGTCTGAAAGGTTAGCTCTCATCCTCAGAGACCCTGTCTGGCAAGGTAGCTCTCAGACCAGGCCCACTGAGTTTCTTGATGAAGACTAACAGATTTTGCCACAGAGAGGGTGGGGAGCATCGCCCTCCTTGCACCTCACCACATGGATGTGGAATGTTCTTATGGGCTCTAGAGAGGGTTTGATCAACCTAACCACTAAGTAGCCCAGATCTTCTTCCCTGTGTTAAGCAAGCCTGCTCCTTCCCTTCGCTCATTCCTGGTTCCCATCTATTTTAGATCATATCTCAGAACTGGAAGAGCCTGACTTATTTGTCTCTTCAGGTAAGGTCCTGTATTTTCCACTCAGCACCCTTTTGCTGAAGGCGCTTTGTCACCTGTCCCACACAACTCGGCTTCGTGTGAGTTAGCTTTTCCCCATTTCAGGATTCCTTAGATGAACCTAAATGTGATGCTGACAGTCTTCGCTGGAGCAACTTTTGAGTCCCTGGTAACCTGTTTATTATTCTGTTTATCTTGTTTCTTATCCAAGAGGTAGGAGAGATCAAAGCTGCATAGAAAGCTGATCTTGTTTCTAGATTTCAGCTAGGAGATTGGCTTTCCTAAGCCTTGTACCTCTGCTACAAAAGCTTTGTTTGTTCTCGAGAAGGCCATGATCTTTATATGCTTAGGGTTGTTGCTATCTCAGGTACCTGTGGCACAGTGTCCCAGAACTTGCATGTGATAATCAAGTATGTCGAATACTCTGGTTATGGGTAAGAGACCTCCTTTCGAGAGGAGAGGTCAGAATTAATGCAGAACAGAGTGGAGTGCTGTCTCCTTGGAGGTGCACCTGGATGATGCATGGGCAGGCTCCTGAAAACATCTGGCAAGCCCCTACACATGGTTATTAATGCTGGGAGCGATAGTAAGACAGCAGAGAGAACTGGATGGGCCACAGCAGCTTTAGGGAAGCCCAGTCACCACTGAAAACCTTCCAGTGGCTGTATGAGACTGTGCGAGCTGTTTTCAATGTGAATTTTTCTAAATGCTTGG